CTGGCGCCGCCGCTGTGGGGAGGAAGCTGGCAGGTGGGTGCGCTGCCTCGGGGCTGAGCGGGGCTCGGTGTAACGAGAGGGAGGCCGGAGGCTCCCCTGCACCGCACGAGGTGTGGGGCTCGCCCGGACCGTCGGGTCAAGGGTGACGCGGTTGTTGCTGTCACCTGAGTTCCTGAAGCTGCTCTGCACTGTCAAGCTATTGAGGGAAATGTTTGTTATCTCTTGAGGCATCGCTCTGGGCTCTCCCACCTGGCCATAGAGCCTCACGGTGATACGCCAGGTGCTCAGAGAGCTACCTGAGAGTCGAAGCAACAACGTCTGAGCGGTCACGTAGCATTAAACCAGTGGTCCTGGGAACCTGTTCCCTGGCAATGTGCGTGGTAATGCGTACCCGAAACGGCAGAACTGCCCCTTAAACGTGTTCAATAAAACAAACGCCTTTTGTAAACTTTTAATATGCTTTAAGTATAAATTATAGTATCATGCATGTTGGCTACTAGATTTTTTTTTTTTTGGCTAACCGTTAACTTTCACTAGTAAATGCATAACGTATCTCATGTTAATAGTAATTTTCAGAGTTACTTTGAAAAAGCATACAAGGTTTTGTTCATTATTGGAGTACAAAGGGCTTAAATCTTGTAAGTATGTTTCAGCAAGGCTAACATTTCTAATATCCAGGTCAGAAAGTTTTTAGTTAACCCTTATTTGTGCAGGGTGCGTTAACTAAAATTATCCTGGAGGACATTCTGCGTTTACTGTGGGTCACCTTGCTGTTTTAGAAATGTTTGGGAGGCAGGTTTTCTTCTCTGTTTTGAGGATTGATGCATGAACTCTTAAGTTACTGTGGTGATCAGATGCGTGCAATTTACTTGCTTGTAGTGACAGTATAAATGTTAAGATACTCAGAGGTATGTGATGGCAAATAACAGATTCTTGATGTTAAGTCATTTGTGATGTACATACATTATCCGTGCTTCAGAACAGATCTTGGCTTTTTTCTGCACCAGGAAGCAGTACAGAAGATAGTCTGATGAGGGATGCATTCCAGTTTGAAGTACTGCAAGCACAGCATGAAGAAATTAAACAGAAGGTTAGCAATATCTTCCCCTCCCCTCTAAATACCATGCTTTTGGATAGAGCTAACTGAAAGGTGTATAAATTCAGTTGCAAGTATCTCATTCTAATCAAGTTGATTAGTAATCTTTGAAATCCATGGATCTATTAAAAGCATCATGCTAGAAACCACTCTAGTAATATCAAGAGTGCGAGCAGTATTTCATTTCTTGGTCATTTCAGATTAGAAAATGCTTATTTGTTGGTTTTACTTGTTTCTTATCAAATTGATTCTCTACTGTCCTATCAGCTAGTCAGCAAAAGTTGTTTTGTGCAACTTAAAGATTTGAGAAAGTAAAGTGACATTTAAGTTGTGTGATGTTACTTTACCTTCTAATAATCCCTTATGGAAAGATACTGTGGGGAAGAAGTGGGTGCAGAAAAGAAGGTACACTTGGGTACAATTGCCCATACCAAGTCCATCCCATTTTGGCAGACAGTTTAGGAAGAATGTTAAGACTGGAGCAAGTTTATGGTGGTATTTCACCAGAGTAGCCTTCTAGCCTCTGGTAAAATTTAATATAGGTACTTGTATCTAATATTGTGTAGTTATTTTCTTTAAATGTTTGTGTATTTAGTTTTGGATACCTTTTAGTGTGAAAGAGGCCTGCAGCTTAAAAACACATTGTGTCAGGAAGTTTCTTTGATTTTATTTTGACCTTTGCACCTAGTGATTTTCAGAGGATGTGTTTTGGTGGTTGTGAGGGGGGGCAAACAAGGAATAACTTGGGCATAGCACTCACACCTCTATAGACCTTTGTCTCCTCTGTTGTGCTTCTCCCAGATGGGAGGCTCCTACTCTATTTACCTTTCTCTCATCACCCTTACCTCTGTTCTCTGAATCTTTCCTCCTTTATTGGGGAAGTTCCCACCTGAACACTGTGTTCAACATGGGGGTACATCATAATTTTACACAGTGGTATATAGGTGTCTTTCTGCGCTTTTTTTTCCCATGCTTTTCTGAGTAACACATTTATTATCTCTCCAAAGTCTTGTCTCTGAGTGGTGATGGCTGTTCAGAGAGCGTTAGAGACTATGTATGTCGTGAAGTTACTGTCTGGGGGAGGTAGCTTGTCTTAGGACAGTGTTGCTAGATGAAATACTATAATTAAATTATTGCTATAATCCAAACAATGAATAAATTATTGATGTGTGTGACTAGAATACTTTTATTAAAAAAAACCCCACATAATCACAGAGAAGGGGAAGGAGAAGAATGATCTCTGTCAGAGACCAGGATGGTATATGAAGACATGCCTTTGCTGTCATTTCATAATTCTGTTAAAGAAAGCAGTAGCTGAGCCTGATTTAATGACAAAAGCATTAGAAGCAACATTGCAGAATTTCTGAACTGGGTTACAGGAACAATTTTCTCCCTAGAAAGTATAAATACACCTAATTTTCAACCACAATATAAATGCATACTTTTGATTATATGCATACTTTAATGGAATTCATCTATTTGCAGCTGAAAGACATGCAAGATGAAGTTCTTACTAAAAATGGAGAAATTAAAATTTTGCGTGACTCAATGCAGCAGATGGAGTATGCTATGGAGGAACAGAAAAGATCATACATGCTATTGGAACAACAAAAATCTCAGACCTTAAGTGAAAAGGAAAAAGAGTTCTCCAAAAAGGTTTGTAAATATGAGTTACCTGCATGTCACATGCAGAAGCTAATTTTATGACTTAATGATGTCACAGACCATCTAGTCAAAGGAAAAACATTTGTGTGAAATTTCCAAACAATGTATGCTTTTATTTTCTTCTCTAGAAGAAAACATTTGTAAGAATTTGCTGAGGGTCTTCTTCTTCCAAAATAAAAGTAAAATTCAAGTGGTAGAAGTTTTCATTTACTTATTACTGTTTTTTAAGCAATCCCAAGAACATTAAAATTTGCAATGTATTTTAAAATGGAAAAAAGCGACAGAGCAAGCTTTATGGCTCTGATCAGATTGCTGTTCCTGTTGCCATCATCTTTCTGAAAGCCCTGAAGAGGACAGTGGCTGCTTTTGTGCTGTTTACTCTGCTGTTAGCAGCCTTGCTGCAGACATGTTCTGCGTGGCACTCGGTCTGTCTTAACAAGTCATGTGCTTCTTGCCTGAAATTTTGACACTTGGTTCTAAAATAGTATTATTTGGACTAGCATATGTAAAAATGGAGATGTTATGCAGTGTTCATAGTAAGTAGATGGTAATCTTGAAATCTTACGGTAATTCTAGTTGCTCTGCAGTTAAAACACCTCTAAATTATTCCGTAACAGTAAAATTGTCTGTTTAATTCCTCTTTCAGTTACTGTCATTACAGTCAGAGTTGCAGTTCAAAGATGCAGAAATGAATGAATTAAGAACGCGACTTCAGAACTGTGAAAGAAATAAACACGTTACTCAGACGGTTTTAACGCCAAGGTAGGGGTATGGGGAAATTAATTTGCGTTCCTTTTTACAATATGTGTGCTTAAAGAGGTTTTTCCTTCTTTGTGTAACTCTTAGGTCTGTTGCCTTTAAAAAATAAGTCTGTTGACCTCTGTGGAATTTGCTCGGAAAGATCTTTCTTTGTATCTGTGACAGAAATGCAAAGAGTTTAAACATTAGTATAAATAGATCCTTGTTTATTGTTTAATAAAATAATTACAAAAGTAGTATTGATTCATCTAAGTCTTTCACTTTTATTTTAGCCCTAAAAAGAATTTTGCAATACAAGTGAAATCAGAAGGATGTTCTCCACAGCCTGGAAAAAGATCTTTTCCTACAAAGGAATCCTTCAATGCTGAAACGTCCACTAGACCGTTGTGTTCTTCAGGAAATCTGGTTGCCCCGACTACTTCAATCAAAGAAGGTAAACCCATATATAGCTTTGCAGTATTTTTAGCTGCATATGAACATTCTGCCTCAGATAAAGATTTCTGTACTACCTGAACAGTTTCAGTAAGTTCACTGTAGAGAAAAACAAATATTTGTTTTATTTTGTTTTGCTTAAATTCCTTTCTGTTTTATACCAAATAGTTTATACTAAATAGCTATGACTGAAATTTCAATCAGATCATTTTAATTCACAGTTTGGTAATGCCTGTATACCAGATGCCAAGATGTCAACAATGAAGTGGCTATTGGCTGTAATGAAAAACTTTCATTTATCATGTGATGAACTAAAATATCCAAATTTTTAATCTGCCTTTCTCATTGGATAAAGAAGAATGGAAAATAATTCGCCTATTTCTTGAATTGGTTTGCTAGTCAGCTAATGCGTTTTTTGTATACTTGTGGTTTGGGCTTTAAAGTGGACCTTTTGGGGGATTTTATTTTAAAGGGTACATATTTAGCTGTATTGAAAGAAACAACTGAAACAGTATACTTATTTCTTCTATGTGTAGGACAGTAATTCTCACAAAACTGAATCTTGAAATTCAGTAAAGCTTAGGAAATTAATATATGCCTATATTTGAAGATTGCTACATTATGAAACAAAAATGGTGTTTTTTTAGTAGCAGCTCTGACTGCCATGTTTCCAACAGGAAACAATAAATGGAAGAAATTTGGACATCATTAACTAATCATTACAGGAAGAGTCATGAAAAATTTGAGAGGTTACTGTCAGTCACAGTATTCAATCTGAAACTGTATGGGCATTATGAACTCCATCAAGACGAAAAATACAGTAGCCTTAAAGCATTAGTATTGTTATTTTTCAGCCTCCTGACTCTTTGTTATGATAAGAACATTCAATATGCCTATTTGTTTGAAAAACACACTTCATTATTTGTCTTCTGAGCACTGCAAGGCTTTTCGCTTCAGTTTCAATAGTAACTGTGACATACATAGGTGACTGAAAGGTTATGAAATGCTCCATTTTATTGATTTTTTTTTTTTTAATTATTTTATGTTGATTTTTAACTAATGTAGTCATGTAAATCTCTGCTAGTAGTGGGAATTCAACTTAAGGTATTGTTTTTCTCTAAAAGAAAAATTGAGAGCAATAGCACTGAACAATCTGGAGCATCTGACAGTAAAGGTGAAATTATATTCACTTTTCTAATTTATTCTGAGGAGTAATTCTACTTGCATCACAGCTCTTAACTATTGTTTGATATATCTGAGTTATATAATGCATGATTTTTACTGGTCTACTCTGTTTGCTTACTATATAACAACTGGCTAACTGAATGTGTGTAAAGGATAGATACAGAGGTATAAGCAATGTAGTTCCTATATTAGACTCATAATTACTGTTTGCTTTAGACAGTAAGATAACCCATCCTGAAGTTGTATCTGTGAAGCACAAAGCAATGGGAAAAAACGGTTCCTACAACTCTGTACCTAAACGAAACGCACGAGGTAACTTTAATTCTGTTAATGCAGAAATAATGAGCATTTCTGAGGAACAGCTCAGATGCCTTTACTAGGCAGCATCATGCAAGGAGCCTGCTATATACAGTGCCCCTGCAGAGGAGTGTTTAGCTAGTTGCTTTTTGCTTTGAGTATTCTGATTTTGCAGTAAACCAGTGCAAATTCTATTATTGTCTTGTATCCTAACAGCACTCTTGTGTTGTTATTCTAGTTAAGGAAAAAAGTTTGCCTGGGTTGTGCTTTATGTAAGGATACAAATCAAGAGGCATCTTATTACAAGGCTGGCTCTTTCAGTATTAATATATTATGCTTCTTATTGTAAACCAATATAGAAACAGGAAAATGTATGGGATTCTTTTGTTAAAAAAAAACAATAAAGCAACGTTTACAACAGTCAACACCAGGAAGTCTTCAGGTACTATTTTATTTCCAATTCAAAATAGAATCACATAACTTTAATGTCTGGACTGGAACATGGAGGGCAAGTTGCCAGCATAGTTGGGATATATGATCATTTAGCTTGAGCTATTTTGCTGTTATGGGATTGTAATTAAAATATTTCTATATATAATTTGGTTACTACTTAAATCATATCAAGTTAATTTTTCTGAAAAAGTTATCATTTAGAGAAAGAAAATTTGTAATGAAAAAATATTTTGAGGTTGAGAGCATTATAAATAAGGCTAATCTTTTGAAATACTAATTTTTTGTTGTTGTTGATGGTAAAGCTACTCCAAAGACAATTTTGTGTCCTTTCAGGTTCTATCTTACTAAATGCACTGATGAAGCAGCCCATTGTCCCTGGGTCATTACTAGGACTCTGCCATCTTCTTAGCAGTAACTCGGAGCCTCCACCTGGAGTTGTATCACAGCCTAACTATTTGGATACGTAAGTTTTTGTTAAACTGTGTCTGACAAGTTCTTAGTATAGTGGCATTCTCTATACTAAGAAATGCTTGTTCATGTAGGATAGCTCATTCCTTGTCTTAACTGCTGTTTTGCTTAGACTGTTTAATGCAAAATTTGGAACATGATTCTGCATCTTTGATTATCATAGATTCTAAATAGTGGAACAAAACTAAGATAAAAACTTGTATGTTAGGGGAAGGCACAAAAACATGTTTTATAAAACCTGGGAGTGACTGTTAGCTGCCATTGTTGGCCACTTAAGCACATAAAACTTGATTGCAGTGAGGGAAGCATATAAATGTGATCATGAGTTAAGTGGGGACAAAATGTTGAAAATATGATCAAAAGAACAGTAGGCTTTATACCTTCAAAGTCTAAACTACATTCAATATATGTACAATGTAATGTACAATATATGTGCAATTTTCCAAGATACATTTATAGTGATGGGTAAAGGATTTTAAATATTAAATATTAATAAAAATATTTTATATTATTAATATTAATAAATACTGGATATAAATTATAATTTTTCAGGAGTTAAAGTTTAATTCTTTTAATACCTTTTGCTTTTCTGATTTGTTATTTTATTAGTAATTCTTGTGTTTTTTGGGTTCATAGCAAGGCTCGTGTCTCATGGCCCTTGCCATTTATGCAAGTAGAGGTGGTCCATTTGGCCTTTGTAGCTGCAGTTTGACTAGTTAATAGCTAAACTCTTTCCCCCTCCTTCCTCTCTCTCTTTCCCCATCCCCCTCTCTCGCCAAGAAAATAATTTTTTATTGTTCTTGTAGTCCTTTAATGGCCCCTACACATTACATATCAGTAACGTACAGATACTTGTTCTTCCCAGAAGCTACCAAATAACATGAGGGGAAGATAATGACAGGTCATCAAAAGCATGAAACTGGAAAACCAAAGTTTCAAATGTAGTTTCAGACAATGGCTTATAGTGAGCTGCTGAAGTTAGCTCTAAGCTCTGACTACTTTGACAGGGCCTAGGAATGCTTTGAAATTGCTCTTCTGTGCAGGTATCGAGGAGTAGGACTTTTTTTTCCTCCCACAACTTACATTTTATTTTGGGAACAGACATCTCTTATTACTCTAGCCTTTCTATTACTTGATTCAGAATATAGATAACTCAAATTTCAATTATGTTCTCTGTCTTTTCTTCTGAAGTATTTTCCTGCTTTTAACTTTACTTGGATAGGAAGGCCACACAACTACCCAGCAGCAGGACAACTCAAGAAGAAATTGTTCCTCTTGTATCCCTGAGAGAAGCTCAAGAACTTGCAGTAACAGGATTGAACTTCATCGCTATGGACGAAGGATTGTCTGAAGGAAGCCCAACAGAAAGCCAGGGAGAGTTCCTGCACCTCACACGCCACAACATCCGAGGCGCCATGCACCTCTTGCCCTTGGTAGAACACCATATTGGCGCATACTGTCAAGTGGTACAATTGGCAGACAAGTCACTAAATAGTTCTTGTGGAAACCATCCAGCTGTTTCTCCCAGAACCAACACGAATATGGTGTCAAGTAAGGAGGACTTCAGGTTGTCTCTTGAAGAAACTGCAGTTATATCACTGGGTATTCTTTATTATTTGGCATTTTATAGCTGGGATGTTGTCCACACGTTGCTATCTACTGAAGTGGAAAAAAGTTCTGCTGCTGGAGATGAACAGGTTTCCAAGATGGACAAAAATGTGGTTTGTGATAATAAAGAAGATACCAGGGCACAAGGAGGGCTGCCTGTAACCCCACAGGATGCTCCCAGTAATGATCAAACTCAGCATTCTTTGTTTAAAAAGCTGCTTCAGGTTTTAGCTTTTTCTGCTACAAGAGGCTCCCAGACTGATAGGATACTGAACCAAAGCCTAAAAGTTTTGGTGAAATTAGCTGAAAATTCAACAATGGACTTGCTAATAAAGTAAGTCAGTAACAGCTTTAAAATTATTTCAGGCTCTGTTGTTTAACAGTTTTCATCCTCTGTTGAAACAAATTTGTGCAGATGACAGTAGAAGTTCTGACATGAATGAGAATATCACATTTCTCAGATCACCTTTGAGGAACAGTTGGGCATCTTTCTACTGCCTTTGCTGCTAATGGATGTGATAACCACCCTGATCAGTAACAAGATTTGCTTATGATATTTATATGAAGCAGATGCTGTTGCCTCATTGCATAGCTGTCACTTGAAAGTGAGAAAACTTCTTAAGGTCATGTGCAGTTGATCAGAATATCTGTAACATTTATTTTGGGTTTTTGCAATTGCTGGGAGATGCCTAAGGAATAAAAGCAGAGAGTCTGATTCTGGTAGGTAGAATGTCATGCAGAAGTGAGGTATTTCATGTGCTAACAGTCTAATATACACAACCATAATATGAATTGCACATGGACTGCCAAATGTAACAGTATGTTTTTCAGTATACTCTGTACTTATGACATGTTAGTTGAGATCAGGCATGTTTTGAATGGCTAAAAAAGCACAAATTGTGATGCTGCTTACAAGAAATAGTGTATTTTCAACTTGCTAGTGCATTTCCCATTTCTAACTGAGTTTTCTTTGAAGTTTTCAGCACTTACTGCATAGCCAGATACTGCTGCAGTGTCTGTGTCCAGAGACCCCTTTGCCTGCTGTCCTTTTGACTGTGAGACTGTTGTCTATTCTTGCTCAACACCGTATGTTGGTTGCTCAACTTTGTTCTCATTCAGGTAAAAGACTGCATAACACAGAGAACTGTAATCAGTTGAACGTTAGCATGACTAAAAACTAATGTAAATAGGCCTTGCTCCAAGGTGTTAAAACCCCCAAAGGCAAAAAGCCTGCTAAGTTACCTGAAAAACTGCTTTCTAGTGCAGAGTTTCAGTTATTGTTTGAAGAGTATTTTGTCTTTGTGGTATCTGTCTACATACAGTGCTTTTGATACCCATGTGGATTTTTAAAACTACTTTCCAGATTAATGCTTATTATGTTAAAGGTAGATGAGGAAAAAAGGGCTTTTGAGGAGGTCTGAAGTTTAATTTATCTGCACTCCTAACATTGTGGAGTTTAGGGATGTGTGACCAATAGTCTTTGTTCAGTTCTTTATGAGTGAAGTAAGACAGTATTACCACAAATGCATATATAAAGTTTAGGGATACTAGTAGTGTCTTCGATGCTGTTTAAGATGTCTGAAGTAAAGCAAGAAGTTGAGCCTGTCTCATGAGGCCCAGGATAGCATTCTGCCTATTTTCTGAAATGTTCTCTTGTGCAACAAAATAATTTTTGTCATGAACAAAATGACTAGTTGGGAAAAGAATGAAGTTATCTCTATTTCAGACACCTGCCTCCTTCTTGCATTGTACATGTATATTACATCAAGACCAGATAAATCAGCATCTGAAATGCTTTGGCTTCAGCTGGAACAAGAGGTAACCACAGCTTTGTTCATATGCTTTTTCCTGCTATTTCCAGTTGAGGGAGTAGGAGGAGCAGGGTAATGCACAAATTGTCTGAAAACAAGTTCGTTCCCCAGCTGAAATAAACACCACAATTATTGGTATTTTTTAAGAGTAGCAGCTTGAAACTGAATCAGTAATTATTCTTAAAGAGAATATCAGTCATAGCAGTCATAGTTAAGGCTCAGGAAAAAAAATGCAAGAAAGATCCCAGGATGGCTGTGAATTTTCAACGCTAAGCTTTCTTTTGCTTTTAGATTGAAAGTGGAGTGAAAGGAAGCAAGATCTAGGACTTATTTTGATTGTATCTTTTGAACTGTACCTTATGAGTTACTATATATAAAAGGTGGTCTGTAGTGATTTAGGATTATATTCATTGTATTCAGTGTAAATCCTAGCTTGCTGTATAATAATCATGATTATATATAGGAAGAATAGCTTTGGAACTTAATTTGTATTGGTTGTACTGACAGTGGTGACTTGAAGTTCTACTGTTTGTTCCACTTCTGCTTTCATTTGAAAGAATTTTGAACCATTTTCATTATCCCTCTACCTACATTGTCATATTAAATGTAAACATTTGTATGCAGTGAATTAAGGCCCACTTCACCTCATTAGTCTTTCTCATCAGAAAGTTGAAAAGGTTTCTATGCAAGACAAATTCTGTGTCTAAAGTTTTACAGGGAAAAAAGAATTTTTGGGGTAAAGAATGACCAACTGTTAAGAAAAAAAAAAAAAGAATGTTTGAAACTAGTAATGAAATATCATTTCTACCTCCCTTTATTTGCAATTTAGTTGTCTGATAATTCTGCAGCAGGCTAGTGCTCATTATAATGCAATCTGTGTTTTTGTAATAGACAGTTAGACTCCTGACACGGTGCATGCGGTGTTCCAGTCCTACGGTTTTATTGCCTGGTACAGACTGCCAATGTAATCTCGAGGTACGTCACTACACTGGCTGAGTTTAATCTACTCAGAACTTAAAGTTACTTAGTGCTGAAATAGCTTTTTTACCCCTCCTTTTTTTTTAGCTACAATGAAACAAGTGCACTGTAAAGGATCTCACCTTCTAAGGAGCTTGCTTTTGCTTGCTAGAAAATATTCTGACATTTTTGAAGAGATTAATCAGTAAATTTCATAATGGAATAAGTTTTTCTGCTATAATTTTTGTGTATTGAGGCACTTTTTTCCTCTTGCAGGTGGTTAAAGCACTAATTATAATGCTACATAGACAGTGGATGAAGATTAGAAGATCTGAGAACAGCTTGTGTGTATACAAGGAACAAATTATCCAGTTTTTACGAGATGCTGTTTTACTCTTACACAGCCTTTCTCAGAAAGATAAACTCTTTCATGAACACTGTTTGGAAGTTCTCCATCACTATGATCAAGCCATGCCAGGCATCAGAGCCATTCTCAAAAAGACTCAAAAATTGAGTGCCTATGAAGGTAAAACAAGTCAAATGATAATGTTGGCTTTTTCTGTGCTGTAGAAATAGAAATTCCACTTCTGTCCCTTTCCCCATTTAACAAGGGCTGTGTACCAAATACCATGGATCACTGTTGCTCAGACCTCTGAAGGCAGTCCCTAATTGAGTGCTTCTCAATCTTCCTAATACTGAATCACAACTCTGCTGTTCTTCTTTAGTAGTTCTTCTCCCCATAGAAGTATGTCCCTACTATCCGATCAAACAAAATCCTATACTCCAGCTCTTTAAGTAGAACAAGCTGCACTATACATTAAAGAAAAAAATCATTATTCCAGTTTTCCAATTAGCATTACACCTTTTCTGCAATTGTTGTTTTTCCCCTGTATCCTTAACATCTCTCTCTTTTCTTCCTCTTCTACCCCCCACCTTCCTTCATTACCCAAGAAGCTTCTCTAGCCCATGTCCATGAGGATTTCCCCCTTGCTTTGTGCGATTTTGGTGTCTGTTTCCTAGAGAGTGCTAATCTTGTGAAACTGCCTCTCCTCCTTGTACCTTGATGCCATTTCTTCATTCAATCACAGCATTACTTACATGTGTGTTGTTGCTCCAGTGTGAAGATGGTGCTCTAGTGTTGGTAGGGCGCTTGCTACAAAGTACCAGGCAAGGCATCTAGTCTTACTTGGAGCCAGAGTGCCAAGTCCCTCATTTCTGGTTATGTATTGCATCAGTAAGGCAGATCATACAAGCATGCCATTAGAGCGTCCCAAGGTTTTCTAGAACTTTGACTAACACCTTGTCTAGTTGTGCTTGGGAACAGACCAGAACAGTGTAACAGCTTGTGATGTTGGCGCACACGTGTGCTTTCAAACCTGCAGTTAGCATTCAGGTTTTTTCTTTAAAACACAAAATACTATGGTTTTGTCCTAGTGATTTTTTTTTTTAAAACTAGCTAACAAAAATGAGGTTTTCAACTTAAGTAGTCAGAACTAGTTTCAAAATAACAGTGCCCTTTGTTTTTCCACTAATAGTTAAATTTAATTGACTGCTGAAGATAGTTCTCTCCTTTAATACCTAAAAAGGCATTAAGAGGGGGAGAAGTTTGTATGACAAAATACATACCTGAAGACCTGTTTGCATGGAATCTTGGAAAAAAATATTTGCTGTAGCCTTCAGTCACTATATTTTAAAATACAAACAGAAACTAACTATAATTATATCAAGTAGAAAAATAACTCAAACATGATTTGTTTGTTGCAGAGCTGGTTTTGGATGAATTGTATCCTCCAGAGGCAGAAGATCAAGGAATGGACTCCAGCTAGCCAACATCTAGCGAATATCTCTGTCCTTCCTCATCTAAATCACAATAATCATTGCCAGTGTAAATTTGAAATTTAAATCATCTGTTAAATGATAATCTAAAGGTTGCACTCAAATGCAGCACAACTAAGACATTTCTTTGCTGTGATTAGGTGCCATCTAAATGTAGCTGAAAGAGAAATTTTGATCTAAGAATGATACAGCAATGTACTGTTTTGCTGTGCAAAACTATGCAGTGGCTTATGACTGGTTCTGTGTATGAATTTTGTATTTTATGAAATTGCTGTGAATAGAATGGAAATTTCACTATTCTCCAGTTTACTGTGACTATAGCTGAATTTATGGTGCTGAATGTGCTGAGATGTTTGGGATCCCTGTGTTCATATGAAAGTCTTTTAAAGATATGTTTGTAGCTGTAACATTTCCCTGCTTGACTTCCAGAATTTTCATGTTGATATTAGAAAACAGTTCACTGATTTTAAAAACCTTTCTAAAAAATAACTTAATAGTTGGCAGTTCTGAGCAAGAAATTCAGAGCTCTGTAATGATCACCTGAGCTCACTCATTTATCTCCCATTTCATAAATCTGCCAAAAGTGTAACTATCAAGTTGCCAACTCAAAAAAGACTAGTTACTTTGGAAGAGTAAGATGGTAATGTTGAGGAGAGTGAGAGAAGGATATTTAAATGTGTGCAGAATGACTGGTTTTTTGGTTGTAGTATCCAGATAGGCACTGCAGTGAAGATGAATGAGCATCTCATTCCTCAGATACAGCACTGAAGATTGAAGTAAGAACAATCCCCTTCACATGTCTGTGACTATCTGCTGTCACAGCTGCAGGTATCAGCTGAACCTTAGACCCTAGAAAGGCAAGTGTGAGTGCTACTAAAATGAACCTACAGGGTTTATTTCTAAATAATTTGGAAAGCTTTCTTCATTTTTTGACAGATACTTGATTCAGAACAAGCCTGGCTCCAGGAGGAGGGACAGTACTATAGTGGGAAGGAAGCCCTTGGAAAACATCCAGTTTTCTGGTCACAACCCCCAGAGGCTGTGTCCTGCCCTGATGTCCCTGGGCAGAGAGCCCCACTCCAGTGTGCTGAACAAGCTCTTGACTTGGCTTTCAGTTTTGAAGAGAACTTTCCCAGAAACCACCCTGGGAGTAACCAGTGTCATAATCCAGCATCTCCCTAGGTACAAAGCTTCACTCCTTCCTCCCACAACACAGCCTAGGGTTAAGCCTCTTCTTCAAGCAGCAGCTGACAGAGCTCCACCAGGCATGGCCTGTTTGTTTCTGTAAAAAACAAGCTGCCAACTGCTCCTCTCGGTGACAGGTTTCAAGTCCCTTATAGCAGCTGGAGAACTGCCATTTTCCTGCCTAAATGCAGTAAGGACACACAGGCACATACAGTATCTATGCTTGCATGGTCACAACCCTAGAACTGCCACCAGGACACTGGACAAGACATGCTACGGAAGTTTCAGCATGACATAAAACCATTTGACTTGTCCACTTTAAAAAAAACAACCCACCCCCCCAAAAAACCCAAAATGCAAAACATGGCATTTCCTGGCCTTCATGCCTCAAGAGAAGAGCCCTTTCCTTACTCAAAACCAAAATAACCATTAAGGTAATTCTTGAAAAACAGCCCAACAAGCATGAGCAGTGGTAAAGCAGTATCTGTCCATTAATCTGCTCTGAGTCACTAACTTAGAGCTGTCCTAACAAAGATGTGACTGTCACAGTATCTCAAAATGCAGTGATCTGCCATCACTTTTCAACTGCTCTATGCCTGTTCTCGCCACCTAATTTTTTGAAACATAGTTTGAGTTTATAGAGATAAGATGCATTGAAACCCCTTCTTTGGGTGAATAAGCCAAATGAACTGTTAAGAGGAGTTTGGATGAAAACCAGTTAAGGAATCCTAAATTGTTGAAGCAATCCGGTTATAAAAACCTGTTTAAAAAATTCTTGGCCTCATTTAAAGGGTGTGTATATGGCAACTTAGTAGAAGTTACTGATAAACTTTATAAACACAGAAATACTATCTGTTGAAAAAATGCTAGGAAATCACCCCTAACTGTTCCCTTCTGGCACTGCATCCCCTCCCATCCACCCACTCTAACAGACAACACCCTAACATGTACATCTACACTGTTTTCTTCCCACTTTTGACTTTAAAGTGGTATAGCCCAGGCTATATACAAACCAACCAGCCCCAGACCTTACACCTTCACTGGTAGAAATGACAGCAACATTATGGTATTATGAAATTAAGCCATAGCATTTAACAGTGAGGGCATTTTCTGTAACTGAAAAGTTCACACTTCTAAGAAAAAATGAGGCTGTACTAAAGAGGAGACAGACAGATATACTTACAAACTGCCATAATTCATTATTTGTTAAGCCATTTACAGTGACCAACCTTCTGTCAGAATTATTGCAAGACTGTACTGACCTGTAACTCTCCTTTTCTTGGGATTAAAGAGATCCAATCATGTATGCAAGAACCAATCACCCCCTGAAAAAAACACTGATGCATTTTTACAGATTATGGGGCTACTGGTTTGCTATCTTCATGACCTAAAAATAACAGAACTCTAGACTGTTCTTATCAGACGCTCTCTGAAGAATTTGGAGCATAGCAGCTTTTTTCAAGGCCAGTTGGCATTTTCCCAACATGTAGATAAACTGTGCCTCTATTAAAAAGGAATTTTAATTGTGCAACAACAAAAACGACCACTTCTATACATGATTATCACATTCCTCAGCAGCAGCCACCCATCTGTTTTCTTGCCCATGGGGATGGCAACTGGGGTCCCCTTTGCTGAAAGCTGACCTAAGTATAGCTGGCTTTTTCCTTCCCAAAGAACTGTGCTGAGCAGACAGGACTAAATCTAGGCAGGAGCTGGATAAAGAAAGCAATCACCTCTGCTAGTTTACTCATTACTCAGGCTACTCTATGCAAAAAGGAGGATGATAGACTTGCTGACTTGTATTTTAAAATGGACTGACCCTACCTCTTCAACAGTCACAGCACAAGTCACTGCATTGCCAAGCATCTTCCTGTGGGGATTCAAGGACCTGAGGTACTGCAGGGATTCAAACACACAGCAGTTTATTTCTACTAAAGCTATGTACAGAGATAAATTAAATGATGCTTCACTGGCTAAATATTGAGGGAATTTACAGAATCAGTGAATAGTCGAGGTTGGAAGGGGACTGTCTAGGTCAGTCATCTAGCCTAACCCTGGATCAAAGCAAACTTCCACAGACAAGACAGAACTGTTTTGTGTCATGTTAGGCCTCAAAGCACATTTTTAAAAAACAAGCTGTAATAGGTGGAAATAGCAAATACAAAATACCTCATCATGTAGCATGCAACATCTGACCTGAGTTTTTATTCATGTTAATCCCACTGGTGTGAAGTACTGCTTAAGTTTAGCCTGTGCTAAACTATTAGAACAGTATGTTATTTAACCACTGAAAAATGTTTTTATGTTAGTAATATGATTTACAGTTATATTAGGGTTAAATGCAGCAGTTCCAATCTGCCTGTAAAGACTCTGTATTATCTGCTGTGAATGTAATAGCAGATGCAAACTTACATTGACAGTGTAAGTTGTTAAAAACTACACATAATTGATTATAATTTAGCAGACTGATAAGAAAAGGTGGTCTGTGATCTTTATGAAGACCAACAAACCCACAGTGGCTGAAGTTTATCAAAATGCTTCCAAGAGTGAGGGCCAACATGTTCAGCACAAAGTTTAACTGCAAACAGCTAGCAGTGTGCTGAGCACATTGTCCCTACAGCAGCTACGTATAAGTTCACCTTGGACTAATCTTAGAGGTTTTAGTCCTAAAGCTTCTAAGTGAAATAGTGCTCAAGTGGTAACGTGCTTTTGAAAACATCTAGAGGAAACAGCTTGTTTTATTTTTATATTGTCATTATATTCCAAGCAGTCTCCTAAACAGAGATAATACAGAACAGACTTTTTCTGTCTATGCACTAGTCTCTGGAGGTTGGTATTCTGAGAATGTAGCTAACAAATATGCTTTGCTGAAGACCTCCTTTACAGCACAGCTGTGCTGCAACACCTGTCCAGCAGTCTGTAAAGCAGATCCTACCTGAGTTCAGGGTCAAAGTAACACTGGGGACTGAACCAGGAAAACCAGCTGCAGGAGCAACAAATGTTAGAGTGAAAAGTCTCCAGTAACTGATTTAAAAGCTATTTTGACTGCAGTAAGGGAAATGGAGTATCAGAGATTAATTTATACATATCTTGACCTGTTCTTCAACACTAGTGAAACAAAAAGTGAAAGGGCCACCTGACTTGTCAGTTTGCAGGAGGGAGAGCACTGAGACAGAAACGGCATCACTTCTGAACCTGCACAGCACGCTGCAGCCCCAGCACATCCAGAGAGGGCCCCTGCCTCACTGTGCCAGGCAGTGCCTCCTCGCCATCCAGTATTGACAAAAGTAGTTAGCAGTGTCTCAAACCTAAAGAAATCACTTTGCAACAGAAAGACATCCTTTATAACATGGCTAACTCGCCCTTAGTGGAGACTGCCATAAAAAGGTGAAGCAGAGGACTATTTCATCAACACAGATGCCCGAGCTCTTGAAAGGATAAAGCAACTTATTTCTTCAGCTTTATCTCACCTCTTAACAGGTTTAACTTGTATACTTTTTCTCCCCACCTATACAACTTAATTAAAAGCTGTATATCTGATCAGGTTCCTGCAGGCTATACTAACAAGTAGACAAGGACAAAAAGTAACTAGAGGGAGGAAAAACAAGCCCCAAACCACTGGCTAAAGCAAACCTGGCAAGTTAGCATACATGCCTAGATATGATACTAATTTTCCATACTTAAAAAAGAGATAATTGCTTGTTTGGCAATAATTGCTATTTTTCCCCTCTTTTGTGTCCAGCTCCTCCATGCAACCCTGCCATGGGTTTTACAATGCATGCCAAGTTCTGTTCTGGAAAAATAGACTCTACCATAAACAACTGCTGATTAAAACATTATGAAAACATAACCAGCAGTATTTCTCACCCAACCCCAAGCTCTCAACATTTTAGTTCATAGGTTTGATCTTCTGTATGACATTTTGCTGCAGTTTTAGAATGAAGGTACCTTTGAAACTCTATGTGCTCATTAAAGGAAATCTGAAGGTTTTAAACAAAACACTAGGTTCCTCAGACCCGTGTGCCGAGGGAAGGGAAGGCACACAGCTTTTTCCTGAACAGAAGGAAGCTTCTCTGCATGTCACTTCTCAAATTCAGCCATATTGCACAGATGCACCTGCTAAAAAGTCATGGGAAAAGAGAGAGATTAACTAAAAAATAGTGGCAACAAAACCATCAGAAATAACTCTGCAATATCCTGGTATAATTTCTAGCCCACACACTAACTTTCTAGATTTGGGTTTTTAGGAGATACATTTTGTCTGCTGTTCCCAGTTAACTAACAGAAATTCTGTGAGAAAATGTGAAATAAAATTGGAAGGATTTGTATTTCACCTTCAACATATTATCAGCCTGCAGCTGAAACCCCAACAAGTTCAAGAAGTAACCCTACAAAACTACCTGATTACTCCGTGATAAACAACTCTTTCAGAACAAGTTTGGGTGGGGGGGTTGAGCAGTTGGGCTTGCCTTTTTTTTTTTTTTTTGACAGCTCATTTCCCCCCCTCCCCTTTTGTTTTAAATCCTACATCAGAAATTTAGCTCGCAATTCAAGGTAATAATGATTATATACTGAACACTCTCAACCAATTTAGTACTACTTGGCATCTTACAAAAACCATTCTTGACCTGCCCAAAGAAAATATTTTCAAGTAAAAGACTAATGAGTCAGGGGCATAAACACAAACTTTCAAAAGCGCTTTTTTTAAACTATTAAAGTACACAAAAATATCAGCAAAAATGTTTTCACAGAGTAGAAAGCATCACCACACACTGAAGTGGACAAGTTGATAACTGAAGCGGACAAGTTGATAACTGAAGCATGATATTCAACACACAAGTCAAAATACATGTTTAGAAGATACTAAACTTCAATTAAATTACAGATAACTTTGAAGTCTACTATCTTGTCTACACTAGACTTTTCAAATATCTTGGGATTTGTCAGCTAATAGATTCAAACTTCATGCACTTCATTTACTCCTTAGGCTAGACAAAGCCTTAGAAGCAATCCTTTTGGATTAGCTTTGAAGCATACCGTCAGAACATCATCCAGGAGGTTATGCTGTCCTTGCTTTACGTTGTGACCTGTAATTCTGATTAGGCTTCAGTCTCCACTACCAAAAGTGATATTCATGATACAAAGTGACAAAGTACGCTTGGTAACACTAGCTGTCAAACACAATGAAGTAACATGTAGCTTTGCAGATATACTCCTAAATACTCAAATTGAGCTAAGAAAACAAAATCGATAGAATATACTTCAAACACTGCATTTATTACAAAGGTGCATAGAGTTTATGCCATTTCTTTTGAATACTTACATTTAAACTACAAACAACATACAAAGCTAGGTTACAATATGTAGTAAAATCAACAATGATTATCTAGTAAATTCAGTACAACAGAATATTCCACTGTATTTAATTTCACAAAACATTTCTGAAACAAAGGCACTTACAGAATTTAAAAAATTAACATATACTCTTTCAACAGTTAAAATTTTAATTCCATTCCCCCTCCCCTACAGCACTGTGGATAGTTTGACATGAAGGCAACAGCTACTTGGACTGATACATCAGCAGTGCTTAAACTAAATGTTTATGGATCAACTTCTCCATTTTTTCTATAACTATCCCATTCTCTTAACTATATGCAAACAAGTTTCAACACACTGTTGGGCAACAACTAAATAAAATTTGGTCCTACACATTAATGTTAATGATGATTAATACACAAACAATGAAACATCCGATTAAGTGCTCCAATTATGAAGCGAGTGGACCTTTTTCTCTTCCTTCAAGAAGTTTAACTGAAGTAGTAATACTACTAATAAAGTAGTTCCTTGTATATTAATGATTCATCTCTTCATTTGTATACAGTTATCATTAGCATATGTTCACCAAAGTAAAGGTGTAAATTTTCAGGCTCCCTAAATTTTCAGGTACCCTATCCCTCATCTCCTCCCACTGCTCCACATACAGTGGTGTTTTGGGCAATTTATTTGGTCTGCATAACATCTACACCAAAAATTCAGATTTGAGGACCTCCATTATTGTTGCCACTTTGCTTCTATTTTTTCCTTAGGGATGATGGCAGATGACCAAGACAACTTCTCACAAAACTGTAAATCTTCCTTTCATAACCCAAACATAACCCTTCTAACACTGCCACGAACTGTATGCTTTATCCCATCAGATGGAGGAAAGGAAAAGCAGTGCAGAGTAACAACCTCATGAAGCCCAGCACTAGAACACTGTACCTGTGCTCCGAGCGCTGCACAGCAGCTGTGCTCACCGGCTGCATCTCACTGGCCAGATTCCATCCAGGCAGATGGCTAACAAAGGTGCTGGAATAGTCTCTGCCCTCCTTCTATATGAATAAACACAAGCAGTAGGATCTATAGCAAGGGAATTATTTCTGCAGCTATTCAGTGCCCTCCCACACATGAAAATTCCAGATTTCTATTCATCCTCCATACAGGAGACACTCTCCATTTTTGGTTGTTCTCACATAACTCCTAACAGTGTAGTGAAGCATTGCCCAATTCTTTGGCTTACAAGGCAGGAAGGAGGAGGAACACGGAGATACAGGCCACACTTGCTCTGTGAGTGCCTCTTGGCACCATTTCATGCTATTGACTTCAAGCCTCTTAGAGAGGTGTAACAGAGGGACAAGGTTGTCATGAATCTCAATGCTAAAAACTTCCTACAAGTTTCTTCTCAAATGACCTGAAGAATATATTGGGAAAAAAATTGGAATAACCCAGAAGTAGACTAAAAAAAAAAAAAAAATCAGGAAAGAAATAAGGCTGCCTTTGACAGCAGCAATTTCCATCCATCATGAGGTAACACAATGCCACCATTAATGTTCTTCAAACAGTAACATGTTCCAAATGTAGAATCACAGGACAAATGGCTTAATGGCCTCTCTAAAAAAGTAGTATCAGTGTGAAATATTTTAAAATTATTTCAATACTTATGTCACAGTAATACATACAACAGACTAGATAGCTCTACTGAGGAATAACAAATTGTATTCAATGTCAGAAAACATAAAATTGTAGAGGACACTAAAAAAAAAAAAAAAAATCATGATTTGTTCAATCAGTACAAGGTGTACAGAGCCAAAAGCCTTCTGAACACTGGTAACAGTCGCAAGGATGTCTCAAGGCGTTCCATAACTGCAAGCACTATCTTCTTGAAAATCCAGTACCTTACCATGAACAAGCCCCACCACTCTTCCCTTCCCTGATTTCTCATTCTCTGCTCAGCTTTGTGGGAATGTTGAAGACAAGAGAGAGGTTTAATCTCTACTGTGTGTTGGGCTGGGATTTCTTATCTCCCCTGCATATTATTATTCAAATGCAGACTGAGTTTATAAAGATCTATCATTCCTAGGTTCCTGCCACCTACAGTTCCCACTACAGACAATGACAAACCCTAAGCATTTAAAACCCACAATCTATTTCTGATATCCCATCACTCCTGTAAAATAAATTCCTTCCCTATGATGAGACAGGACTGAACACTGGCAGGTACTTCTGGTTAACATATGGTTAAGGTGCTAATTTTTCTTTCAAACTCATCAACAATATATGACTTCAGTAAGCTTGTCCAATAATACTTGGACAACAAATACTTGCCCAATAACTTTTACGAAGAATTCTCAGTTCTAGTAAGTGGCAGAGAGTTTGGGTTTGTTATTAATTTCTAGCTATAAATTAAAATGGCCTGAGAAAACACCCAATGAAGGCACAGTTTTTAAGCCTTAAAACTGGGAAAGACAACAAGGAAATTATCAACTCATGCTATTTAGCACAGAAAAATGCAACAAGTCCAAAGACAACTAAATGTGGTTTGCTACCCCTTACTGAAGCAAATGTGCTTCAAAAAAGGAAAATTCCCTTTTGAAATGTATTACATTGTAGTTTACTTAACAACAGTAACTTCAAAACAAGCAGAACATACATAATGTATCAGGTAGTTTCTTAAAGATTAAGTTTTTATGTTTAAATACTGTGCAAAAGATTGCTACAGCTTTGGGTGTTTGTTAATGCTCATTATTGGACCATTCCTTTAAAAATTATTGCACAGCAAATATTATTGTGGTTCTTATTTCTGAAGTACTCCTTCATGCTTTTCTCATTGTATGTAGAACAAAATCTCTTTTTGTATTTGCTTGAGGTATAAATTAACAACTTTTGCAAGAAAAATACTCCTTCCTCGTACTCAAAGCATTTAAAAAAAAGATATTGAATTAACTTTCACTTTACTTGGACAAAAAAGATTGCTGTCTTCCAGAAAAATATACTACAGTTGCATGGTGTAAACAGCACAAATCATACTTTAAAAAGTTTTGTATGCAGAAGCACAGATGATGATCTTTTTCAGTAGGTGGGCTTCTGAGGATCCACATAAGCAGGGTTGTAAGGGGGCTGGCTGATTGGGTAAGGGGCTCCAGCACCAGCTGCAAAAGCAAAACACCAGAAAAAACAGATTTGTAAAAATTTACATTCTGAATTCTGCATGTATAATGGCAACTTCTGTTTTGAGCATGTTTTGAGCACATGGTTAAGAGGATCAACTTACCTAGCACCTTAATTGGACTTGAGAACAGTTTGTGTTAACCCAAAGCACCCACATTTCAAAAGTAAGATCACAAAAACCTGTTCTTGTGGTTTGGGTTTTTTTTTGACACTTAAGTGTATGTGCTTATTCTGGCAGCCATGAGCACACAGTTTGCCTTCAGAGGAGAACACTGTCTAAAGAAAAGGAACAGATCTGGTCCAAAAAATACAGCCAGTGGAAGTCAGAGATGCATAAACAACAGGATATACCTGATAGTATGCAGAGAAGTGAAACTAAACCACTGGGCAAAAGAAAAAGGGCTAGAGAAAGCATCTTAGAATTCCTTCAAGGAAAATGCTTTCCTGATAAGTGTCAGAGTTAATTAAAAAAAAATCAAAGGGAAAAAAGTATCCCACTGCTACCAAGCACATTAAAGAGTCTGATTTGCATACTAGAGGTCTATCACTCAGAAGATACTCTCATTTTCTAATACTCCAAAACAACCTGCTCTCAAGTGGCATCTTCATTTTCAGGTCTGCCAAATAGCACAAGTTAGTTCAAACAGCACAGCACCTGATCAGATTCCTGGAATGTGTAAGTGTGGTTATCTTTTGCTGATCTTGTAAAGTGAGTGGGTTTGGCTCTTGCGTGACAGAGCAGGTATTCTCTCCCTTGCATGGGACCTAATTAAGAGATTGCCCCTTGGTTAATAGGCAAGGGAAATAAAGAAGAGCTCTCGCTTTGAGGCATTCTAAACTGGCAACATGGGAAGTGCTTCAAGGTTTTCCCAGAAAAAAAGATAAAAATTAAGAACTAACAAACCAGCAACAGTTTGAGAAACCAGAGAGTAGGAGAAGCAAAATGACTAGTTTATTGGCTCCTTCACATGACAAAGATGAAGCCAAAGCACTTTGGGATAATCTCATAAAACCCATACCTTCTTCAGAATTTACAACAGAAAAATAAAGTCAACAGTGTCGCCAAGTCAGCATTTATACATAGGGGGCTGGTTTGCACATTATTATTGTGCAATTTCTAACTGGTTTACAAATGCTTAAGATCATGAACAGCCATTTTATACTTGAGCTGTCATGAAAATTACTTTCCAAGGGTATTATCTACTATTCAGGACTACACTTTGCTCGTTACTTAGAAGGATGAACAGTGTGGTTTGTAAGAGGGCTTGAAGATCCTAGGACTTTAGCCTCTCTGAACAGCCAGGAACCCATTGTTCAGAGAACAGCTATTACCAGTGGAAGTGGGAGCAAGTAGTAACAGCAATAAAGCTCAAGAAAACAGTGCTACAAAAAGAAAAGCAGAAGAAAAAAGATTCCAATAATTCTAACTGCTAGTCATTGGTAAACTTGCCTGAAGTTGGTCAGAGATTCTGTATTCTATAAACATAGTGATGAACTACTAGGAAATGCCATCTGTGTGTAGACTGAAACATCTAGCAAGTATCAGATTAGAAAGAATATGTAGAAACACCCAACTACTATAACTATGTTAACTGGACTTGATTTTAATATGACATTTCAGCTGAATTAGTGAAACATTCTAGTGGATGCACTGACAGTCCCACATACCACCAAACTTTGCCAATACAGCTCCAGCTACATCTCCTCTTGCAATCTTTAACATAAAAATGGTGATGGGGAAATTTCAGCAAGAATGAATCACAGCATCCACCATAACTTGAGTTTTACAGGATCTGTTTACATTTACATTAATATAGTAATAGAAAATAATAAATGTAAATAATATAAGAACAGCTCCAAAGCAATTGTCTCTTTAGTTATTTAAGAGATGAAGACACACTGAGTGCTGCCTTACCTGCCATCGTTTCATGATAAGCTGGGGGTCCTGATGGCTGCATAGGGTAAGGGGGAGGATACTGTGCAGGGTACGGTGCTACTGGCATTCCCGGTTGTGGTTGGATAGCCACAGGCTGATACCCTTGATATGGGGCTACTGGGTAGTTGGGTGGCACTCCCTGTTGTTGGGGATAGGGAGCGTGAACCACTGTAGTGGAAGTAGTGGTGGTCACAACAGCTACGAGCAAGCAAAAGGAACACAGTTAGTGCTGGTGGTTCTAGGAGATCAGCTGGGACAGACAACAACAGTAACGTAAAAAACATTCTCTCAAGATCAATTTCTCACTTCAAAATCTTGATAATTTTATTTTCAAAGTTCCACAAAAGATTTAGAAATGCATGCCTCTAAATACCTTTCCATTGATCTCAGTGGCAATAAGAGCCTTCACATATTGGGATAGCAGCCAACTTACCTCCTCCTTTCTCAACCACAAAGAGCAAAGAATTTTTTTCCTGGACTCTTCAAAAACCAGGAACTCAGGCCTGCAGACAAGTTATCTATCATTTCGTATGAGACTGGAAAAACTGCTCCTTTTTACATGTTATCTGCTTCTAAGGATTAAAAGCAAATGACTAGGTAAGGAGCTTCCTACCACGACTCCTCAAATTAGTTTGCCTTTATATGTTGTCTACACACTAAAATCTCTGTGTGTCAGTAGGTCTTTCTCTAAATGACAGTCAGAAAGGCAAATACATATTAAATCATCAATTTTTTGTAGGAGCTGATGTTGGATCATTAGTTCACATCTCTTATTGGAATAAGGGAGTATTAACACTTTCTAATAAACTGCAATAATCTGTTTTCAAGATCTCCTTCCCCTTTATGCCACAATTACAGACTTTGCTCAAGATTACACTGGTACAGTCCTGGGCCTTTGATGCATTTTTGAGGTATATTTTTAGGAAACTGGGAAAAATTTTACATTTCATCCTATCTATCCCCTGCTTACCTAAACAAATAAGCTACAAAAAAAATCCAACCCTCAACACCCCCCACCCCCAAAATCCACACAATGGGGTGCTAAGGAAAAAGAACTTCTAAATGCTTAGAAAATACTCTAAAACATCTCTCTGCAACTTCACTTTCTGAAGTAGGTTAAATGCTTATTTTTAACGTTTAGGTATTCCAACTTCTGTAGCAGAAAGGTAAGGCAAGATTATTTTCACCTTTTACAGGAACACAATTTTACCGGGGGGGGGGGGG